TGCCATGCATTATACGACTGATAGACTGCAACGGTTGGACTTAAAAATCATCATACTGTATGTGTTCTACTGAAGAAACAAAGTCACCTACATCTTGGATGCCCTGGGGGTAAGCAGATAAACATCAAATTTTCATTTTTGGGTGAACTATCCCTTCAACTTTTATAAAGAATATCTCTTTGGATTTGAGACTTTAGTCTTTGCAACTTTACAGATCTTCTTTATGCACCAAGAGCTTGTAACACTCCAAAGAGAAAGGAAAAATTTAAATCGCATCATATGACCCCTTTAATCTTTTATATAGTATATTATATAGTATTATAAAGTATAGTATATTAGTAGTATATTTATAAAACAATTTAAAAAGAGCACAATTACATTTTATGTGACGCATTTCAGTGTATTTCCTTAAAATGTTTCAATATTTTTCAAAAATATATTACAATATTATACCTTGTGTTGATGACATCAGTATGATAATATAGATGAACATGTTCACTCGACAAATTGCCAGGAACAGGCAAAACAAAGAGAAACTTCTTCACACAGAGTTTGATTGTTACTTATCTGTATCTGTGCGCTAGTGTCTGTTTAACTCCTCCTCTTGCCATTATATACATGACAGCTATGCAGGCTTATTTGATCTTTGAAGGATCATGGACAGATAACTACTTTAGAATAATATATTTTTATTTATTTTCTTGTTTGTTGTTAAAAAAAAATCCTTATTTGTATACTGAATGATTTCTGAGTCTAGAGTAATTTTAAATAACATATTTAGAAAAACAGATGCTAAGTGATAGTCTCACATGCCCCCCATATAACCTTTCATAATCTCCCAAATTCATAGGTGTTGCCACACTCTAATTTCCAGAGCTGTGTTTACAAAAAAAGAATCAGTTGTGATTTGATGCTATTTGATTAAAGACTGTTTAAAGCATGTTGTGTATTTGAGTTTTTGTAAAGCGTCTCAGGCATTTTGTATCACTGGGCCCTACTCTTAGAGCACAATAATAGAGAGCTGAATCTGACAGAGCTGCTTTCTCAATAATGAGGTCAGTGGACGATTGGGATGTAGTTGATTGAAACCGATTGTCTGATTTATCCTCAGCATCAATCTCTGATCGAGCACCTTTGAGCAGTAAATACTGAGGTTCTCCATTTGGATATTTTCTGTACCAGTAAAGCCAAACATTATTGCTGCTAACATCATATGTGCAGCTCAGTGTCACAAACTCTCCTTCTTCCTTGATTATATTAGTATCTCCTTCTCTTGGTCCAATTTTGTCTGCCAATCCACCTGAAATTAAATAAATTTTTTATACATCATGTTCTGAAATCTTGGATCAGGACTATTTCAATAAAACATGTCACCAATGTGTCCTTTCAATACATAAAAAAAAAAAAAACCTTCATGGTGAGGTTGGCTTTGCATTAAAATGGGATAGTGTTTGTTCAGCCTACAACTGTCAGACTCTGTTCCATGTTTTGTCTGTGTCTTGCTCCCCAGGTGTTCCTTTCCCATGTTTAATTTGTCCCAGGTGTTCCCCATGATGGTTCATTGATCCCAGGTGTGTCTCGTCATCCCCTCCTCCTGTGTGTATTTAAAGTGTTCCCAGTCCCTAGTTCTCTGTCCACTGTTGAACGTCTTCCTGTGTTCGTCTCCCTTGGTGCACATAAAGTCTTGGTAAAGTATTCTCCAGCGTCTCCTCGTTCCTCGTGTGTGTGCGCGCATCGTGACAACAACTGTGTTTAGTGTGATTTAGTATTATTTACCTGTAACTAAAATTAGAATCATGAATAGCATCTGCTTCTCCATGTTGGCAGTCCAGATGTAGTTTGTATTTCTATTACTGTTAGATTTAGAAAACTGTACCTGAATATCGCTTTATAGTGTGAATGAATCTGTGGTGGCATCCAGTACATTAAATAATGTTCCATTGTGTACTAATATTGTGGGTGTGGTTAGTGACATGTGTAACACACAATTTAAAAGCTGCACAGCTTCTGTAATTCATAAGAGAACATACTGTTCTAGTGTTACAGCCTCCTCAGAAGGACATGGTCATAAAGGGGGAGTAACATCCATGTTGGTGAGATATTAAAATAGATGAATATAGTGGTGGAGCCTATTGAAGAGTAGAATATGTGTGCTGAAGGACTAATTGAGTAGGCCTATCAGGAGTCTCCAAAAAAAAAAAAAAAAACTATTTGAGACAAGGCTTAAGGGGCCAAGAGCATAGATTTTAAATTTACGACAGAAAAGCAGCTGTATACTTCAAACATTGGTCATCTTTATGTATGTGTATATATGATATCCCACTATATTATTTCAATATGCAGCATAATTTCACTCAAAATGCCACACAATTGTTTCGCTCTCAAAAACCCAGAGGTCTTCAACCATGTTCCTGGAGATGCACTGTCCTGCAAAGTCTATGTCCAATATGTTTCAACACACCTGCCTGTTATTTATTTATTTATTTATTTGTAGTACTCCTGAAGACCTTGATTAGCTGGTTCAGGTGTGTTTGACTGGGGTAGAGCTAAACTCAAAAAATCTCTAAAAGAGAGGACTGGAAAAAAAATGTTCCAAAACAAATACTTGTGAGACTAAGCAGGAGCATAATGTCAGGGCTTGACTAATGGCTCATTTACACTGAGCGGTACGGTACAGTACAGTTTAGTACAGTACGATTCTGAGAGAAGAATCTTCACTTGTGATATTACGCTGCCCCATTCTGCTAAAACTCAGAACAGCATGTTTTGTTCATTTTAATATATTGATAGATTTTGCAATAGAGCATTTATTAATATAAATGATATTAAATTATAACATGAAGTATATACAAGTTTTCTTTTCTGTTTTGCAGAGAATCAAGGATCTTGATCCACAATTTTAGATTTTGGTAAAACTGCACTCCTCTTAAAGCCACAGTCCTTAATTTATGAAGCAGATAATTTCTCTCTGATCCTAGATCTGTGATCTCTGATCCTGAATGTGTTCATGATGATAATTTACCATCTAACAAATATATTTAATTATATTAAAACTGTATACATTTTGGCATTTTAGCCAGTATACTGTTTCATCTAAGAATTGTCTGTCAGAAAGTGCTGTTCATATTTTTATGTAACATCTTTATTGTTTTACTTTTTTGAAGGTTTTTATTGTTTGCTCCTTTTTATTATTTGGACTAGTGTGACATTCACAAAAGTGACATGTCTTGACAAGTGTTTTGCTTTTTGTTGTTGGTTTTTCATGAGACTGTAATTGACTATAGATCATTTTAATGACATCCTTAGAAATTTATACAAATGAGAAAAGAGATGACATGAGACATGATAACCATGTAATGCATGCTAAATTGTATTCACATGCCCTTATGCAACCTTTTTAACCTTCTAAATTCACAGCTGTTACCAAATTCAGTGTTTGTGGTTTATAAAAACATGTGTTTTGATACTGATCGAATAAAGACTCTTCAAAGCATTCGTTTCATGTGAGTTTTTGTAAAGCTTCTCTGGTATTTTGTATCACTGGGCTACTTCAAGTGCACAGTAATAGAGAGCTGAATCTGACAGAGCTGCTTTTACAATAGTAAGTTCAGTCGATGATTGGGATGTAGTTGACTGAAACCCATCTGGTATATCCTCCTCACTGCTCTTTGATCGAGCGCCTTTATACAGTAAATATTCTGGTTCTCTGTTTGGATACTGTCTGTACCAGTTAAGCCAAATATCATTGCTGGTTGTTTCATATGTGCAGCTCAGTGTCACAGACTCTCCTTCTTCTCTGATTATGTTAGTGTCTCCTTCTCTTGGTCCAATTCTATCAGCAAAACCACCTGAAATGCAATGAATCATATTTTAAAATACCATGATGTAATTTTTTTTGTTCAATAAAAATTAACATTATATTTGATTGAATTATTTGATTTATAAAATATAAGTAATTGTGATTAAAAGTATATTTACCTGAAACTGTGATGAGCATTATGAGTATCATCTGCCTCTCCTCCATCTTAACTGAAGTCCACTTTAAAGATCAGGTTTTTAGTTTCTAGTACTTATTAAATTGATTCATTAGATTATCGTTATTAACTTATTTAGTAATTCCAAATTATGCTGAATGTGGCTTTATAAAATGAATAAAAATATGAGAGTAGCTGATGGTTGAATGAAAGCACTGAGACTGAGTGAACTTCTGTTGTGCATGAATAATATGGGTGTGGGTTAGTGAAATATGAAACGTTCTGTGCTTTCAGATGTGTTTCTAATAGACGTCAGGTGCTTGTTTGGTGTGAATAAAACAGCTTGTGAAATAATGTTGCCCCCTTCTGTTGGAGCTCAGAACAGCATGTTTTGTCCATTTGCTTTACTGTGTGCTTTAAAATGTGCCAAATAAAATGGTAAATGTTTTTTAGTTACTTTTATTGTTTTATTGTTACTTCTAATTACAGTCATTTAATTGTTGGGCTCACATTTGTCCTCATGAAAATGTCCTCATAAAAGTGATAATCTTCCACAGAACATTTTGAAAGTGAAAAGTGACATGACGTGGCCAAGTATGGTGACCCATGCTTGGAATTAGTGCTCTGCATTTAACCCATCCAAAGTGCACACACACAGCAGTGAACACACACAC